CAGCATCCCTGCCCTCATCCTTGCAGCAGAACAACAATGTGGAAAGTGAGACTACCCAAGACACTGGGATGAGTGCAGTTTCTATTTCAAATAACCTTGTTACGCCCAACAGGCCACAGTGGCCTCATGAAAGTATCTGCACAATCAAAGCCAAGAAAACCTTACTTGCATCTTCTGTCATGAGAATACTTTTTTTTTTTGTTTTGGTTTGAGGGTCTTTTTTGTAATTCAAGGCATCTTACACATCTGGCATGATAAAGGTGGCTATAGGAGCATGAATCTAATGAGAAGAAAAGTATGGCATTTTAACCAAGTCTATTGCCAGCAACAGTAGCATAACATGGAATGAGGACGATGCTAAATTTAAGCCCATGAGGCCTTCAATACACAACTTACAGCTCATCAGTAGTCCACTGTTGGCAGTCCATGAGTGGGGTTGCTTGTGTTGAGATTCGGTGACAGAAGAAAAAAACAGTAGCTTTAAAACTGTTACTTTTATCTGGGGAGACAGCTACTGTCAAAAGCTGTTTCTGACAAAAGATATTTCTGTCAAAACAGAGACTACACAGTCACATAGGCATTTGGACAAGATTTTATTATTACTTCTTTTTGATGAAGCTTCATTTCATGATCATGTTCTTGGCACTGAAATCTTTCCAGTTTTCTTAGAAAAATAAAATTAATTGTACTTAAACAAATTAGAGATTTAAATTTGAAAAGCAAGCTGTAGTATTGGGAAGTCTCCAGTGGGCTCCCCCAGCTTCTGTTTTCCTGAAGCTCACAATACCCTGCCAGATAGATATGTGGCATGAATACACAAAATGGGTCTTATCCACTGCGCATAGAGAATAACACCGTGCACTGCCAGCACAGCATGCTGTTCTGCTCTGTCTCTGTATTCATAGCATCAAAAGAGAAAAGCAAGACACTGAATGGAAGTATCATCAGCTGTGCCACTTCCACAGTATGGACCTCCTGGTATGTCACCTTTTCTATCTCTAGAATAGAAAAAAAATCAGACTACAAAAGCACAAAGTTCAACCCATTCATATTTCTGAAGCTTTTTTCAGTGTCCAGAAGAAAGGCCCTATATGAAAACAAATTTCTCTTTCATTAGATGCATTACTGGCAGCAAGAGCGGTTCTCCTGGGTGCCAGTCTTCCACCAGCTTTGGTCCATCCATGAGAATAAACTCACAGCTGCCCACCTGCCCCCTCCCTGGCCCCTGCTGGAAAGTCAAGGCCGGCATCCAAAAATCACATCAACGGCTCCTCTCCCTCTCCCTGTGCCCCACATTCATGCCCAACATTTGCCACCAGTTTGTTCTAAAACAGAACAAGGATCACTGCTGGGACTGCCTGTGTAAAGGATCCATTGCCAGAGAAAGGAAAGCAGGGAACGGACTCAAATCTCAAAGAAATTATGTCAGGAAGGAAAAAAGAATTTACTCCACAACAGGAAAGCAGCTTACTTGACAAGGACCAGAAGGACTAAAGAAAATCACTCCCACCTGAATGCTGCCATCTACTCAGTGGCTACGCGTACTTCTCACTACACAGGACTGGGAATTTCCCCTCAAACCAGGGCATTTCCATTCACACTAAGGCAACATGGGTTGCAGGGGTCACAAGGAAGGGCAAGACATGAACAAAGCAACTCCTCACACATTTAGATTTTCCCGATTCACTTGCATGTTTAACCTGAGACATGAGTCAGCCTCTGCTGAATACAGGCTGACAGCTTGGTGGGGCACAAATGCTTCAGGTGAAGGAAACAAGGATGATAACTCAAGAACTGCAGAGACAGGAGGTCCACGAAAAACATGACACACGAATTGAGCGTATTTCCTAATCACGGGTCAGTGTTTTTCACCCTGTGGCCAAACACCCTTGGGCCATCAGTCTACTGGCAGTAGCAGCCTGCGCATGTGTTGGGCTGCGTATGGCTGAAGGTTCCCCCATTCCACCAGGAGAAAGCATCTCTGTCTCGCTGGTCCTAGTGCTGTGTTGCCACTCCGCGGCTCCAAGAGCTTTCCGGGTTACACTGTATGTAATTCAGAGTTTTTTCACTGCTTTGTGCTATGGATGGTATTTAAAAGAGCAAGCCATCCTCTTCTTTTGTCAGCTTATGGTGTATTTCATCTCCCACTATCTCATAAAGTGACAGTTTGATTATAATGTAATTACATTTTTTAGTGAACCTAGCGCATAATTTTGTTTCCAGATGGGTTTATGTTCCTTATATTTAAGCTCATTATGAACAAGAAGGCTGCACAAGAAAAATACAAAGTAAGCTGCTTTTCTTTTTTTTTTTTTTTTTAAAGGTGAGCATTTTGAAAGGCCTACATAGTGAGGAAAAAGATACCAATGTCACGCTTTAGAAAAGATGAACTTCAAACATGAAAACACAAATGAGCTTGAGAGCCCTTTAAGGCATTTACATGGAAATTGAAAAAAATAAAGGTTTAATTTTCATTGCGTGGAATTTGGTAAAAGCTAACAGGTTGAATAGCTTCAATGTCCAAGAATCAAGAGCAAGGATCGGAGAGCGGCTGCAGATGACCACGGCAGGGGTAGCGCCAGTTCGCAAATTGGTGAAATGAGTGTCTCTCTTATTCAGTCAAGTCTCCAAGCATCCTGTGGCTGGGTACTTGCCAAGGAGCTCATTTGCAAGTCAAGTATTATTTGTTGATGCTAAGAAGCACAAGCTGATACATTTTGCCAAAACATGTGACAAGAAAATCCATGTAAATCAACAGTGCTTTGCAGCAGAAACTGTGGTTCCTCTCTGAAAACTGTCTTAGTAAAATGGCACCCTGGGGTTTCCTGTTTATTGCATCCCAGTGACTTCCAAATCAAACAAGATCAGCTCAGATGCAAGTGATAATGATTTTTTTTAACTGCTGCTTCTATGAAAATAGAAATAAAATCATACAGTCAGGATGTGCTTTCTGGCTCACGCATCGGCAGTGTAGATCCTACAACTGGTATTTAGTCAATAAACCTATTTACAACTCACAATCCAGTTTCTTTTCTACCATCCAGTTTGCAGTTTATTGGCATTAAGGGGAAGAAAAGAACTCCAGAAGCAAAAAAAAAAATCCCCAAGCAGACATGTTAACTTACCCCCAAAGTGAAATCATATCCTCATTGGGGTCCTTTTCTTTAGCAATGCTTTTACATCTGCTCAAGCATTTGCTGATGCAACTTCTGTCCAAACGGGAGGTGCAGGGCAGTGTACTATGTTGGCGACATGTGTTTGCTTTTTCTGAAGTGGGAAATTACTTAAATAAGAACCAATAGAAGCCAACATTTTACAGTATGACTTGTGCCTAAAACAGAAGTGAGAGATACCATGAGTATGTCCGCTTCTCATTGCCATTTTGCCACTCGTGACACTGCAGATGTGGCTGGATAATGGTGACATTTGAAATCTGTGACTTGTATGACTTATCGGCATCACCAGCCAGGCTGCAACCTGGGATCAAAGGACCTCCTGCTGAAAACTCCCACACTTTGCTCCTTGCAACATGTCAGGACTCTTCCTCTTTGACAAAAGGCTGCTTCACTATATATTTCCTGAAAATAAACAGAATTTTGGTTTAGAAATATATACTTATGTTCCTATTTTCAAACACTTCTGGGCTCATTTTCCCATATTTCCAAGTTTTAGGCCACTGATAAGCAACCTAATCTGCTGTAATGAGAGCATTGCTCGTTTTCCACATGGTATCTGTCCAGCAGCTCTCCTGGGACACTTTAAACTAGCATGTAAAATTTTGATATTCCAGGCACGTATTCTACCTTATTCTACTGCCTTGTCACACGTCTCAGTACACCAACTTAATTGTTCATTTGTCTGGGCCTGTCAATTCCTCCATTTCCACACTCCCACCTCGGTATGAGACTTCTGTTAGGTGGTGGGAAAACTCAGAGATTATCACATACCACAACATCATTTATTTACTCTATCAAACAGGAACTATTGATTGATTAAGCTTCTTCAGTAGCAAACCTGCAACATAATTTCAGCAAGAAATAGCTTAGTTATATGTAAGAATTGGACACTAGAAATTCAGATAAAAGATTTGAAACACCGTTGCTTTGCTGTTACCTTTTCAAATGAAAAAATTAATGCTATAGCAACAAAAACTAGACAGCTAGAGAAAAGAAAAGGGGAAATCATGTGAGAGAAAAATCAGAGATAAAGAGAAAACCAGCTTATATTAAATCTTAACAGTCCCTGGGGGTATCATGAAGGCTTCTGAATGGATGAAGCATTTCTAGTAATTACAATGAATCGAACAAATACTGTCAACTTCAGGTTTGCTGCAAAGTCTCTTAAACAAAGGGACAACTGAATTTTTAATTTTTTATTTTTACTGAAACCAAGATATTGTCTCAATCAAGTGACTAGGATCTGCCTACCACAAAAGCTTTTTGTATGAGATTTTCAACACTTACTTAAAAAAATAAACCCAAACTGATTTTTTTGGTTTTTTGTTTTTACACAGAGCAACCTATTCCCTTCCTCCTCAATCAACTCAGATGAGCAGTTTTTGTAGTTCTTGTAGCCACAGAGCATCAGAAAACCAATATCACTATTGAAACTACCTTCTTTAAAAGCAAATCCACTGGAGGAGGTCAGACAGAGTTCAAAGACTCATCGTTCCTGGACATATTTAGATTTCCCTCTAAGGTCCACTGTCCTTGCAGAGACTTCCAGACTCCACTTCCCCTTTGTTCCTCTTTTGCCACATATTTTGGCAATTAATCAATGCTGATGCCGATGCCTCAAACTTCTTCCTGCTGTTCCAGTAGAGGTCACTGAACAGCCCAGGAACACACAGGCCTACAGGAGTCTATGGCTGTAGAAATCCCAAATCCACAAAACAAAGATTTTGCAGAATAAAGCCATAGATGGGTCCAGAGAAGGCAGTGATAAAGTTGGAACCCTCCTCCTTATCCAACAACACAGAGCAGTTCTTGACTTTAACTTACCTGACTCCTTGCCCACCTTCCAGAAAACATGAGTCATAGCTGAAGGTGTCTCCTCAATGTACTGAACTGGTCCTTTGGTTTTGTTCTGGTCTGAAAAAGAACTGAATTAAGAATTATAAATCATGGCAAAAAAGATATTTAAAAGCAGCACTTACCAAAATTCCTATTTCGAAAGGGCAAAGGGTGCATCTTGAATTAAAGCCACAGCACCAGTCCTTCAGGTGATAATTCAAAGCAGCCTTCAGCTGCTTCATATTGATGTAATATGACAAACTTATTCATAAGTGGCACAGGACTAGTTAATTTTACAGTTCTGTTTTCCTCAAAAGAGGAAATGGCCCAAAGGTCAAAGCTTTATCTGACAGAGAAGCCACTGAGCTGGTGACAGCTTTACAAAACAAAATGCTGAAGTTTCTGTTAAAAACTGACTTCATCAAAGGAGAAAAAAAACATGTCAAGAGTTTTATTATATGACTCCATTAAGAAGATTTTTTTAATCAATACATGGTATGCAGTCTACATAATTCAATTTGAGAAAATTTTAACTAGATTATATCTTGGCAAGAAGACCTTACAGGTCATTTTAAACTCAGTTTTTATCTGTCCAAATAATGAACTCTAGAAGGTTAAGAGATTAGCACTTCAGAGTATATTTTAGTGCAAGCAAAGCTTTCCTGAGAGGAGGCTATTGTACTGAAATTGTAAAAATCTTGTCTGGATTATCATATAGACAAGAAAAGCCCCAAGAATTAATATCTGCCAGTGTCCTCTGGCAAGATAAAATAAGGCACAGACAAGGTGCTAAAGAAATGCAGACAGTCACTTCCATTAATGAAAAAGCTTACCCCAAAAAGGCTGAAGGAGTGCTAAAAAAAAAAAAGTAACCAACTCCCCAATACACAACTATAAAATAAAGATGATATAAACCTGTAAGATGTTGTTTAAAATATAATTAAATATCTTCTTTTCCACAAGTAATTCTTGACTCTTCATTCTTTCCGGTCATAAATGATTGCTACCTTCCTTCAGATTTCACTCATTCCTGTGTACATCAATACCACGACCCAATTTTTACTCCGTGTTTTTGTTTTCAGCTTTTGGGGAGACTAGCATGTGCAAATCCCAGCATTTCTGTTCCCTCCAGTTTGCACTTCCACACACAGAAAGCAGGAGGGGGAAGAGAATTAAGAGGCAGCCTGACCTACTGCCTTGCCAGAAGGGAGAACCCTGTTATATCTCTGTCACTTTTGACAGACTTGTGTCTCATGCACTCTTTGGTAACCGCCAGCAGCTGAAATGCCACCAGGTCCCCAGGTGGTCTGTTCTCAGGCTTCTCCATCTTTCAGCACCAAGAATTTTTTTTCATACTTCTAACCCAGAGAAACCCATTATGTTTTGTCCTCTCCCCCACAGATGGGGAGAATCGAGCATCTTCTCACTGCCACGGTCCTTCACCTACCGACAGGCCACCAAGTCCCCAGTTTCAGTAATCTGTGCTGAACTATTCACTTCTTCCAGTCCTTCCCAATGCTCTCCAGTCCCCGATCACCTTGCAGACACAGGAAAAGCTGACTTGCAGAGTGCTGCTCCATCTCTGAGACCCTGTGCCCACAGCTGGGGCCAGGGGGCACATACAGAAGCCAGGCTGCTGGCTCCAGCGGGTCCTTTGGGCAAGGAGCAGCCACTGCGGCAAGACCACCAGAGCCTTTTTCTGGTGGCAGACAGGGTGTCCTGGCTCTGCGCTCCATGTGAGCTGCGCAGTGCTGCAGCTCATGGCTCTGGCCCCAGAGGAGACTGCTGTCCGTTACTGTGGCAAAATGCCATCTTTCAGCAGTCCTGCCCATCAGTGATGACTGAAGGCTGATGGACACACCAGCTGCTGGGCAACAGCCTCGCAGGACTCCTCGGGAAGCCACAGCCCTGCAACTTACGCTCAAGTCAGTCAGAATTGAGATCCAAGAGCCTTTTACAGAGATAAAATACCGCCCATGAACTGTCTGGCTTTATCTGGCATTTGAGAAAGGCAAGCTGCTTCAGAGCTGGCGTGCTGTATAGGAAATGCCTACAGGAGCTCCGGGAGAATGATGACTGTATTTCTGCAGGGACCCTGAATGGAAACCCCAAAAAGCATTAAGAAGAAGAAATGGTGGTATAATCCTGCTGTGTAATGGAAACCACTACGGCCTGCATTTACTATGAATGCTGGATCAGGCTGCGATGAGGCTCTTTTGCTAGTGTCAACAGGCAAAGGCTTGCCTATATGTCATCTTTGACCATCAGCCTCATTACTGTTTCTGGAGGGTCTGTCTTCCTACTGCCTGATACAGTTGCACGTGACCTGCTTACATTTTCTATATGATGAATGGGTAACTTTGGTTATCCAGAAGAAGGGTAATTAAAAATAACATAAGGCCAACTAGACAGAGATAAGTGAATATTAAAGCATCTGACCAGGCCAGGTGCTTGAAGATATCACTGAAAAGGTCTTCAAGTAAAAAAAAAAAACCCGAAAACAAATTACCACCTTGACAGATTATTAAGTGTATAAAGCTTCTGGCAATAAGAGCTGCTAATAAAGAAACAGTGTAAACCAGAAGACAGCAGCAAGAGTAATTATGCAGCAGAATGATTAAAAAGCATGCAGCTAGAATGTCAATAATCTATTTTATGAGAGGAAGTCAAAGATTCAGCATTCAAAAAAAAAAATCAATTAGGGAACAAGGGAGATGGAAAAAAAAAATCTATTTAAACTGAATTCCTACAATCAAGTGATAACTCAGTCATGAGTAACTGTAGGAATCGCTGCAGCTCACCATGTTTTGATAACACTGGCTACTCCACCTGAGATTGAAGAAGAACTGCTCAGTTTCTCAGCATCCAAAGGGACTCCGCAGAGTAACCTGTGAGAAATTGTTGTACCCGATAAATTGTGCTGCTTGGCTGGAAGAATAACCAGCACGGCCAAAATTAAGAAGCTTGCTTCTGAGAACTTTTCTTATTTTCATAGCAACAGAGCTAATGTCAGTTCAGTGGCACCTAACAGGCTCCTTAACTCTTAACCACTTATAGACACATTGTTTCATTTCCTCTTCCTGCTCTGCCTTTACGTTTTTCCTCTCCCAGATAAGAGGTTTTCAGCTATCAGCTTCTCACGGTGACGCTAGCCAAGAAAAGATCATTCCTGGACATCTGCCATGTCCCCCCTCCTCTGTAGAAGCCAGGGAGTTCAAGGGAAGAACAGGAGGAAGACGTGTGGGAAAACCTGAGGTGATTCCCAGCCCCTCCTCTCACAAAGCCCTGTTCCTTACAACGGGACGCATGTGCTCAAATGCGATGTTTCCCGCGCTCCCTCGTTCACGGCTGGGCAGGATCCCAACCCTCATCACCTCCTCTCCCCTTAGCTGCTGAACTCGGGCAGCTTCTGGCTGGGGGTCCTCCAGGGAGGCACTCACATGCCTGGTTCTGAGAGGCCCCAGGGGTGAAAAGCCAGCTCTCCCCAGACACCTGTTCCTGCTCTTAAAAAGCGATGCTCGCTGTTAGATGAGGGAAGAGTTCCAGGTCATGCACCCCCGGATCCAGCGCAGGGTGGTCACTGGCAGCACAAGCCCAAGCTCTGCCTGCCCTCGTCTTCACCAGCCTTCTCCTTTCCAGCTTCCTTGCACCACGTCAGTCCGGCGCCCCTGTAACTGCACTGACGCTCACGGTCACCTACCGCTCTGAAAAACTGCCCTCAGAAAAGGATGTTGTTCTCACTGCACTCTCACCCGATCCTAGACCTACTGGCAGGGAAGCTGCGGGAAAGAGAGACAAGGGCTGGCATTGGCAACAGCCTGGATTTGGGTCAGACTGGGTGTGCACAGGAAAAAAAGTTATATTGAAAACTTTCTGCACCAGATTAAACAGGCCTGTGTTATTCCAAAGGTAAAAACACGTTAGTCTGTTCCCCTATTTGTCTCTTCCTTGCTCATTCTAGTGAGATTATTTTACGTATCAAAAATGAAGGCCTTTCTAAAGGTTCTGTATTTATTCTTGCAGCTCTTTTCTCCACCCTCCCATGTGCAAAAATTTTTTTGAAACGCAGAAGACAGAACTTGATGCTATCAGATATCCACCTTACAAATATCAGAGAGAAAAAAAAACCCAACAGCTCCCACCCCACAAATATCAATATATCTATATGAAAGAGATCTTTCACACAGGCTCTTTTTGGTATGGTGGTGTTGGAGACTTGGTCTGATGCGCCTTGTTTGCTATAACCCCCTTCAAGGTCTGTGTGTGCCAGGATGAGGTCCCTGCCCTTCCACCTCATTCAGAAGATGCAGAAATGCTTCTGATGATAGCAGAGGATTGGATTGGGCTAAGCACGCCAGATACAAGGACTAAATGTGAACAATAAATAACAGGAATGTGGATCAGGCCACAGGAAAAAAACTGTCTTTGTGCTGAGATAAAATATAATATCTCATTTGCTGCTTTTCTATGTAATTCCTCTTTTTACATTTAAAATACATACATTAAAAGTTAATATTGTGATTGCGCATCTCTACTTTCTGTAGAGTAAGTATTATACGCTTAACTATCAAATATAAAAAAAAGCAAATTTTCAGAAGAAGGTAGGAGATGACATAAACAAACTCCAGTAAGGACTTACCTGTGCCAAAGCTGCTCTGCTTCTCAACATTTCCCTGGAAAAAATAAGCATTGATCATTGTCACCATACCATCCCTCCTAATTTGCTTACTGTTCAAATTTCAGAGTGGGATACAATTAATTAACGGGTTTACATGTATTATGTTTTTAGACTTAGATGTTATTGACAACCACTTAACATTAATTATTTATATTATTAACATCTTTGCACTGTTGAAAGCTCTCTGGAGAAGAGCTTGGGAACACACCAGGGGTGGAGAGGAACTGTTTCCAAAGGCAGGTAGGGAGACACTGCTGTTACACATGTGCAGGCTGGGAAAGCAGGTGTTGCAACACGCTGAGCTCAGGGTGCTTTAGTTATTGCTATTGTTTTCATCAGTGAGGCTCAAAATGGAAGAAAGGCAGCCTCATTTTTTTTAAATCCTCGCTTCAAAATATTTAGGCACAGTATGACCCTACCTAGCTTTGGGATGCGACTGTGGCACAAAAGACAGTCAGAGAGAGACCTCCCCACATCACATGTGAAAAGGCAGTTCCCCCCCCCCCAGCTAGGTGCTTATGGGCAGGTGAGTTGAAAGTTAAATGAGTCCCTGAGGTTTCCAATAGAAAGAGAGGCATACGCACAACTTTAACAAATAAAGGAGTCAAGTAATAAGCAGAACATTAAACTTCAGAAACGGCATCAGAGAGGCAAAGCTCAAGTTGCAAGGGCATTGAATTAAAGACCCAGAAATCAGAGAAATCCGAGCGCCATGGTGGCAGGCGGAGCAGCGCAGCCTCGGTGACAAAAATGGGGCAGGCACCGGTCTGAGGGCAGGCGTGGGGGATCCGTACAGCCCCGCGGTGATGCTGCCTGCACAACAGCAGCCAAGGGGAGAGCAACCTCAGCGTAACCTGGGGGTCAGCGTAAGACCTGCAGCTGTCTGAGAGGGCACCTGCCCAAAAACTGATAGCGCTGGGAAGAAATTACCAATGATGAAGCTTCCTTAGGTTGACCATCAGCCGGATTACACAGTAAGCAAGGGACTACCAAGAGACTTTGAGAGCAGGAGTCAGCTTGAAAAGAAATAAAAAGGTACGAAAATTTGTGGAGAGAGACGACAGAGTGGGAGAGTGGTAGCAGAGCAGCAGTCAAAACCCAGTTAGAAATTCAGAAAGTCGTAGGCGTTTGTTAATGTTTTGTTAATGTCTAGTATTGTGGTTCACATTGTTGATATTGATCCTGAACATGTATTTCACTGATTGTTCTTTAATTACTTTTCAATTTAAAAAAATATAAATCAAACTACTTTGACCCTGATTTGATTTAACTATATAAATTGTACAGCTTTTTTCCTGAAAGAGTAGGCAAAATAAATGACACACATTACATAGTGAGGAATGAAGGTATGAGAGAAACAAATTGCCCAGAGGAAATATTTCCTGCTCACCTGTAGGTGTTGAAGTTGGGGTGAGCACCCACCTGATCCTCACACGCTGCTGACAGCTAGTGAGTCAAAGGGAGGCAGGATGGCCACGTGTTTTTCCCTTTGCCTAGCCCAGGCAATAAGCCAAAGAGAGGAATCAAATATGAGAGGATTAAAACATTTCCACTCAGATAAAAGTTCTCCCCTTAATTACATGAGCAATAATAAGGAATTTAGCTTTTTCCTCTCCACACACGTTATATTGTGCAGTAGCTTTTAGGGA